AATGGGCGGCACACGCAGGCACCTGACGCACAGGGAGAGGAAGTGGGTGCTGGGTGTGCATTTTCACAGCTTCCTGGGACACGTGCAGCCCAACCACATCGTCATGGCTGCAGTCAGAAACTAAGTGTCGGGGAATCCGCACGTCTCACTAGCTCTGTCCGAGGCCAGGCCACCTGAGGAGACCCCCAGGCTAGGTGACGGCAGTGCTCACCGTCCCGGTGGGTTCTGCTGTCAGCGACGGTGGCACCACTCTCTTACTCCACTTTAGGAATTCACCGTAGCGCCACCCCCAGAGAGCAGGACATTTGGCTTGCTCTGGTCATTCTGCACTACAGACAGCCCTGAACGTGTGATGTGCACTGTCCCATGGCCAAGGGCGCCTCTCTCGCTGGTCACTTGCACCATCAAAGGGGCAGGCTCGGAAGCCGCAGGAAACAGACGCCAGGTCCAGTCTGTTCTCACGAGCTTCTCCTGGCGGATCCCAGGTCACTCCCGCCCTCCTCGGCCTTCTGGACTGATGGCTCTGCTTCCCTCGGGCTGGCACCAGGCACAGGGCATCAGCCCTACAGGAATGCATCATGCCCAGGACCACATCAGGCCTAATCCCCACAGCACACCCCTTACATCACTCAGAGTTTCCGACACCCTGATCAAACCTTAACTGATACAGGCTTCTCCTCTATGACTTTCAACAATGCCACTATTTAAAAGTAGTTAACTTTCAGAATGTCCATCTTATCTAATGATCTAAGTGACAGGCTTCCTGAGATACGTGAATTTATGATCCTTAGTGTTAAAGAGGACTATGCAAATAGGCACTTAGTAAGCCACTGGTGCAAACAAATATATTTGTAGATTGAATTACATTCATTTTTAAATGATTTATAATTTATAAGTGTTAAAAAATTCTTTGCCTGTAAGAGTCTATATTCTTTACTGAATCAGTTCAAGTAACACATAATTAAAACATTCTGTCTGCTCACGTTCCCTCCCTTCCCCAATATTCAAACACATTCTATAGGTATTCGAAATAATCTCTCCTTCATGACCTATTAATTTAATTTCACAGGACTAATGAGGATTCCAATTACAAATCATGTTATTTAAAAGCTGGTAAGGTGTTATCTAATGTAACACAGAAACTCTTGTATAAATAACTATCTTGGCAGTTCTCAAGTCTGCACGTCCGTGCGCGCACACACAGCTCCGGAATTCTGATGAATTATTTCATCTGGATGGAAAAAGATGTTATCTTTTCTGAGGTTCTGGCAAGTCAGTCATCCAAAGGTGGGAACTGAGGTCTAGAACACAGCAAGTGAACTCGGCAGCAGCTTCTGCCTCCCGCAAGTGCTTACATTTACAGGACAAGCAGCGGCTGGGCAGAAACACCAGGTCGCCAAGGCTCATGGCTCGCCTCGGGGAGCGCGGGACGGTCCTCCCGGCATCGGGGCTTCGGGGCTCCTTACGCCACTTGGCGCTGTTTCTCGTGCATTTTCTATCATGCCTTCCAGTGGGGGTTACTGCTTTGGTGCAGCTATTGAAACCACGTTTCCAAAACATAAAGCGTAGTATATTTAGATGAGAAGTTTAAACACTTTAGCACACAGAGCTGGCTTAACCTACTCACGCTCTCCCCCTGTGCTTTAACGTCTTTTTCAAAACACTTTTATCATTTCAGTTGGCTCCAGAGACTTCTGAGGCAGAGAAGGGAAATTCCTGCAACTTGTGTTGAACACAGACGCAGAATTACAGGCCTTAGAGGACACTGTCCTGCCCCCCTCACTGCCTGAATGACACTGGCAGTTGTATGCCGCAGTGACCATCGCCTGGACAGCGGGGCAGCTGCTCAGCCCACACTAGGCTCCCAGGGCTCCTGCAGAGGGCGCTGTTCACCCCGTCTCAGACGGCCTCGTCACCCAGCACTGCACACCATCCCAAAACACAGGGACAGGCTTAGTGGTTATCTGATTCAAACAGTCTTTCCTTGGGATTTTCCAAACCAGAAGCCCAGGGAAATAGATCCTCCCTTCTCTTGGGTGGCCTGTGGCTGTGGAACAGGGTAAAGGGAAGTGGAGGAGACACCCAACGGTGCTCCCTGGGGTCAAGTTGCCTCCAAGCCTCCCCCTCTGCCCTTTCTAGTTTAAGCCAACACCATATGGGTCTATACCTCTTGGTTCCAACGTCCTAATAAATGTGCAGACAGTAAGACTATCAAACATTAGAGCTGTGCATTGCTCAGTGGTGAATAATACTTCCTTTTTCCTCCAGCGAATGACTTATTTTCTGTCTATGTTCATTTTCAAAAGAAGTTTTTCCTCCAGGCTCTTTCCCTCATACAAATCCATCAATCTCCTCGGAATCGTTTTCATTCAGAATTTTCCCTTGTATGCAGGTTCCCAGCCTCACTGTCTTCCTTCCAATCAGTCAGCCGCTCCCCCACGTCCCCTGCCCTCCTGCAGTCCTATGAGCAGCCGTATGAGTCAGGCCCTTGGGGATGCAAATGGTAGAAACACCACCCAAAGGAGCGCAAAGAAAAACGTGGCCTCCTTTCTTCCAGCGGGCTTGTGCCTTGCTTTTAGGGATTCCTGGGTCCAGGGCCCAGCGTGCTGGCATGATTCTGACTCTTTCCATCTCTCAAATCCGCTCGAATCCCCCCCGTGCAGGCTCCTTCCAAGAAGCAGGCGAAACGGCACCGGCAGCTCCAGCTCTCATCCTCCCTGCAACCCGAGCAGAGGGTCTATTCCCTGAGAGCTTCAGAGAAAAGTCCAGAACCACCAGGGCCGTGAATCCCGGGGGCAGGATGGGGGGCTGGGGGGGTGTGGCTCTCCTGTGAGCAGGGCAGGGTGCTGGGGGACAGACACAGCGACACCGTAGCCCACGCAAACCACACGTATTATCTCCTCAACAGGAAAGAAAAATGCTGTCACAGGAGAAAGTAGGAAGATGTTAGGCAGACAGATGCCGTGAAATTATCTGTGATTCATTGCAAAGCCAACAACCCCAAATCGTTTCACTTCACCCC